CCCCTGGGAAGCTGCCCTCAGGGACAAGGGAGCAGAACAGAGCTGGCAGATCTTTAAGGATGCTTTCTATAGAGCGCAAGAGCTCTCGATCCCCAGGTGTAAGAAATCAGGTGAGGGAGGCAAGAGACCAGCATGGCTGAGTCAAGACCTGCTGGTCAAACTAAAGGGCAAGAAGGAAATGCACAGGCAGTGGAAGCAGGGACAGGTATCCTGGGAAGAGTATAGAGACTCTGCCAGGTTGTGTAAGGATGGGCTCAGGAAGGCCAAGGCATGGATGGAGCTGAACTTGGCAAGGGATGCAAAGAATAATAAGAAGGGCTTCTACAGGTATGTCAGCCAGAAATGGAAGGTCAAATAAAGTGTACTCCCCCAATGAGCAATATTGGCAAACTGGTAACAATGGACAAGAAGGCTGAGGTACTCAACAACAACAACTTTTTTGCCTCAGTCTTCACTGGCAACCTCTCTTCCCACACCTCTTGAGTGGATGGACTGCAAGGCAGTGACTGGGGGAGCAAAGTCCGTTCCATGGTAAGAGGAGGTCAAGTGACCACCTGAGGAACATGAATATACATACACCTATGGGACCTGATGAGATGCATCCCAGAGTCCTGAGGAAACTGGATGATGTAGTTGCCAAGTGAGTCTCCATGATACTTGAAAAGTCATGGCAGTCAGGTGAAGTCCCTGCTGACTGGAAAAAAAGAAATATTGCACCCATTTTTAAAAAGGGTGGAAAGGAGGACCCTGGGAACTGCCAGCTGGTCAGCCTCATCTCTGTGCCTGGGAAGATCATGGAACAAATCCTCCTAGAAGCTGTGCTAAGGCACATGGAGAGCACAGTTATAATTCAGTTGGTGATGTCCTTCCACAGCCATGTTTAAGCAGTTATGTTGTGCTAATATTACTTACTATTCAGTACCTTCTACAGCAAACAATGATATGGTCATCTACTTGGATTTCTGTAACGCATTTGACACAGTCCCCCACAACATCCTTCTCTCTAAATTGGAAGGATATGGATTTGATGGGTGGGCTGTTCGGTGGATGAGAAACTGGTTGGATGGTTGCATCCAGAGGGTAGTGGTCAACGGCTCAATGTCCAGATGGAGATTGGTGACAAGTGGTGTCCCTTCCCTCAGGGGTCTGTACTGGGACCAGTACTGTTTAATATCTTCATCAATGACATAGACGGTGGGATTGAGTGCACCCTCAGCAAGTTTGCAGATGACACCAAGCTGAGTGGTGTGGTTGACACGCCTGAGGGATGAGATGCCATCCAGAGGGACCTGGACAAGCTCAAGAATTGGGCCTCTATGAACATCATGAAGTTCAACAAGGCCAAGGGCAGGGTCCTGCACTTGGGTCAGGGAAACCCTGGGTATCAATACAGGCTGGGGGATGAAGGGACAGCCCTGCGGAGAAGGACTTGGGGGTACTGGTGGATGAAAAGCTGGACACGAGCCAGCAATGTGCGCTTGCAGCCCAGAAAGCCAACCATGGGCTGCATCAAGAGCAGCGTGGCCAGCAGGTCGAGGGAGGTGATTCTCTGGTGAGACCCCACCTGGAGCACTGCGTCCAGCTCTGGGGCCCTCAGCACAAGAAGGACATGGACCTGCTGGAGCGGGTCCAGAGGAGGGCCACAAAAATGATCAGAGGGATGGAACACCTCTCCTATGAGGCCAGGCTGAGAGAGTTGGGGTTGTTCAGCCTGGAGAAGAGAGGGCTCTGGGGAGACCTTACTGCAGCCTTTCAGTACTTAAAGAGGGCCTGTAAGAAAGTTGGGGACAAACTTTTTAGCAGGGCCTGTTGCGATAGGACAAGGGGTAATAGTTTTAAACTAAAAGAGGGTAGGTTCAGACTAGATGTAAGGAAGAAATTTTTTACAATGAGGGTGGTGAAGCACTGGAACAGGTTGCCCAGAGAGGTAGTGGAGGCCCCATCCCTGGAAAATTTCAAGGTCAGGTTGGATGGGGCTTTGAGCAACCTGATCTAGTGGAAGAAGTTCCTGCTCACTGCAGGGGTGTTAGACTAGATGACCTCTAAAGGTCCCTTCCAACCCAAACTATTCTCTGATTCTATTCTATGATTCTGTGTCTCTAAGTTTGAGTTACAGAGAGCATATTCACTGTTGTCCCCAATTTCCAGGTGTTCCTCCTGTATGTACTGTCAGTACTCTTACACACTGTATTGCCTTGGCATGGGGAGAGATGCACATGTTGATTGGGAAAGCTCTCTGTGGGCCCCTTTACATCTTCTAAATCAAGCAAAATCCCTGCCCTGAAAAACTTAATTGTAATAGCTTCATACTAGCTCAAAGTGTGGGGACTGATGTCAAAAAAAGTGAAGTCGTCTGTGACGGAGCTGTCCTTGGAGACTGTTATAGTTTGCCGCTTGTCTGTTCAGGTGGACATCTCTTGGAAAAAGAGATCTCTGCAGTTGTTTCTAAGCCTGAAACTCAGGATGGGAATAAACAACAGTTGACCAGGTTGTGAACTTTGTGAAGGATTCATGCGATATTTGCGGGAGGTTGAAGCTCTCTGAAGGATCCAGAGAAAGTTTGGCCAGCAGAGGAGTAGTGGGGTGGTCGCACTTTCATAGCAGAGGACAGGAGTAGGCTCAGCCATGAGGAAGAAACATTTCAGAGGAGAGAAAGAGAGGCTGTGTACTGGAGCTGGTACCACAGGAAAAGGAGTTTTTGAGATCACTGAGGAAATTTAGGTGGAAGAATGTATGTGGTAGCTAGTTGTTTTGTCTAGTTCTGCACTTCGTGTGCTGGCTAAATAGTGGTTGGCTGGGGGGACTCTGAGTAAAGCCTGTTTGCTTCTACTCTCTTGTATCCCTAAAAGCTGTGGGCTTGAGGAAGAGCAGGGTGTAGAGTACTGTCAGACATAGGCAGTGGGAGTACAACCGGTGGGATATGGTACCATTTCCACAGCAGTATGTGAAAGACATCACAAAGGAAATCACTGGATTGGAGAAGGCTGGGAGTGCTGGACAGTGGGCCGAGCAGGGAGGACCAGCAAGGGACCAGGTGGAATGGTGTGGCATGTTGGTGGCTGTCAGATGTCAGCAGGGTCAGCATTGCCCTCAGGTGTCTTCGTGCCAACTCTGCTGACTGCGTCCAGCTGCTGCACAGATGTGTTCATGCACTGGGAGGGTGGAGGAAAGAGGAGTGTGGTTGATGCTTCCAAAGTACACAATCAAACCAAAAACATTGCCGGCCAAGGAATATTATCTAAGATGGAAATAACTGTGCGTGATAAACACTGTGTTCTGGTTTCTGAAGCAGAGTGGTGTTGCTGCTTGTTTCTGTCCTTTGTCATCAGCAGCAGGGGAATCCTTGTATAGGGTCATCTGAACAGGGATCTAAAGGGAGCTCTGTGCCATGGCACCACCAGATGTGGGCCCATGTGAAAATGGATCCCCTTGCATGTGAAAAAGGCAAGTTTCAGCTTGGAAGCAAGAAGCAAGACCTTGCAGATCCTTCCAGTCTGAAGCATGGAAGCTACTGGCAGCAATTGTAAGTGCTGACAGAAGTGGTCAGGTTTTACATGATCAGGCCAAGAAAATCCTGAGATTTCTCCCATCCCCCTGGAACGGCAAAGATTCCAGCTGTTGTACAGTGGAGATGGACTTCTAGGTCTGTACAGCTTGGGAATAGCGTGCAGCTCGGGGCACAGTAGGCCCCTGTGAAACCTCACCAGATGGAGAGGGAAAGGAAAGCACTCACTAGGCACAGTGAGTCACAGTGATCTTTATTTTCAGGTTAGAGAGGCTATCTCCTTGTTGTTATTGCCTTCAGGATACTGTGAAGAAACTCATGTTGTGATCATATGTGGGGATCGCTTTAGGGGCTTCCCACACCCTGCATCTCCTGCTTCCTCATCCTACCTAAGTAGGAGGCTTTTTAGCTGCCTTGCCAGTCACTTTTTTCTGCTTGCAGCTCCCAACTTTAAAGGAATTAAAAATCTGTGTGTACACCTGGACCCTTGCTGTCCGTGCGTCCTCCAGGGCAAAAAGCCTTTATGTTATCCAAGGATCAGTTAAGCTGTGTTACGCAGTTTGGTTCAACATCTCCTGTAATGATCTCCCGCATAGATGGCTGGTAACAATAGGAGGATTTTGCTTGGATGCTGAGATCTTGATACCACCAATACTGGATTCAGTTGACTATTTGTTTTTTTCTTGCTTAACTCCCTGTGGCTGGGAAGGAAGGGTGGTGTGTCAAAGACGAGACTTGGAGACAAGGTATGTGGGTTGTGTGTGACCCAGACTTGAGTCTCTGAAAGCCCGGACGCAAGTGCACTGAGCTGGGGCAGAAACCCCCTTGATCTCTTTGGGCTTTGAAGCAGATGTCTGAGGGTGAGATCTGCAGATAGCTCAGCTGCACGCTCAACTTTTGTTGACTTCTGTGCAGCAGAAGCAGATGCTGAACCTTTCGGCTGAAGCGGGGCTTTGAACTTTCTGTGCTTGTTTCCCTGTGTTGTAATAGTGGAAGAATACCTGTCTTTTGCCAACAGATATCAGCTGGGTATCAGATATCCCATCATCTGGGAAAGCTTGCCGGAATATTTTGGTTATTTATTAGCATGGTGCTAAACAAAATTTGTGATTACGTGCCTCACTGAAAATAGGAAATAGTTCAAATCCAATCCACACAGCTGGCTAGGAATACGTCAAAATGAAACAATCATTTTTACGTTCATTATGCAAAAACCCAAGGTGCTTTGTGGCAGGTTGGTTTGATAACGGAACAAAACATGATGAAACCTTTATTTTGTTTGTGAACACTGGTATATTCTTTTCCAGTACCTGCAGGGAGTAACTAGCAATTGAAGTAAAGTTCAGCTAGCTTTTCTTTTTTCCTTCTTTGGAGCTTGTATTTATTGTCCTTTGCCCATGTCAGTCATACTGGTATTATGAGGAAAATGCACAGAAAGTGATGGCTTGCGTCCTTGAGCGCAGAAGTAACTCTGTTCTGTACTATCTGTTGGCAGTGTTCGTACATCCCTCCCTGCACAAGAGATGATCAGGAGAACTCTGAGAATGTCACATACAAGCAGAACTACTGGAAAGAGAAAGTGGGTTCGCAACCATTTACATGCTATTTTAACCGCTTGAGGTGAGTAATCTACATTTGCATAGGCAGAAGTGCTTCTGCATCTGTTTAACAGCTGTCCATTGGTTCTCTTTGAAAATGTATATAAATGCATGCATATGTATATACACACACACCCATATAGTGATGTGGTTTAGCACACAGAGTTTGGTGCAGAACTTGGCAAGACAAGTATGTTGATGAAAAGCTACACAGAAAGCAGAAAAACTTTACCACTTGAAGTAAATATAAAACTCTGAGGAAAGTTTCCCTTAAAACGTGCCATTTTATGGCAAAAAGCATCTTGGCTTTTAACACTCAGATGGCAGATTTCTGGCTTGGATATTAATGTTCCTTCCCTCTGTGGAAGAGGAACCCTACTGTGTTCATGAGGGGCTGGAAGAAAAGGGGGGATCAGTAAATAGTACAAACCAACTCAGGAATTGTGATCCTAGAGGATTAATGAATCAGATACGTGTAATAAATGTTCACAGAGCTGCCAGTTTTCATACATGCTTGCAGAGTAGAAAGTTGTAACTTCAAGCATCTCCTCTTCTGTTTCAATTCTTAATTTTACTACTGATGTTGATATGATTTATGCGTGTATAAGGATGACATGTGGTTTCCTTCCTCCAGTAAATAGGAAAAGGAGGGAGTCCTTTTACCTGTGTCTTTCTGATGATGATGTGCCGGGAAATAAAAGGTGAAGTGGCAGCAGCAGCTTACTGTTACTGCAGTGTGCAGGCTCGCTGGGAGGACTTGGGAGAACAGTGATGACTGGGATGATAGGTCCGTGTAGACAGGGAGGCGGAAAGAGAATGTTTAATATCTTGAGATCAGCCAAGGTTTTAAAGTGTTTAGGCTCCAATTCTGGAGGCATATGACACTTGCTTAATTTGATCAGCATGAGTGATTTTGATAGATCCAGGGAGACTGTTCTTGGTTGCTAAGTTAAGCACTCAAATAAGTATCTGCCACATCAGAGACTAAAGGAGGAGGTTGGTCCTACCCCACCAGCACCTGGAAGTTAAAAAGATGAAGGAGACCTAGGTGGGAATAGCTTGGTGCTTGCTCATTCAATTCAGGGCTCAGTGTGGGAGTGTTGGCATCAGATATTTAAGTTTATAAAAACACACAGGAGGAAAATGGATGCCAGTGTGTGCTAGGACCTTGGAGGAACTGGGGAGCTGGAGCAGGGTGGCAGACACAGAGATGCTCGACTCTCCTGTGGGTGGCCCGCTGAGTGCCTTGGGAGCTTCAGGTTTGTCCTAGGCTGGTTATGACTGTTGTCCCTTCCCTGGAGAGGCCGTAGACCTGGTCGGCGTGCCCAGAATGACGGTCTGTTGTCCCTGGTCAACTCTTTGCAGAGGGAAACCACCAATGCTTTGTAGCAAAAACTAGTTGTTTCTTATAGTGGGGAAAGAAGCATTGTCTACAGCATGCAGAGGGTAAAACTTAGGGCACCCTGTGCAGTGACATCTGGCAGGGACCTTCTTGGGAACTGCCACAAGGTGCCAATGCTTTGGTCTGCTAACCAGGAGCCGAGTGATGATTTTGGCTTCTCTGGGCAGGAGGTGCTGCTAGTTCCCTGTGTTGCCAAGACCTGGGACCTGCAGCAGCTGCTGCCTGAGTGAGCAGGATAGTCAGAAACATGGGATCTTCTGCAGGAGACATCGCGGCTAGGATTCATCTGAGCTGGTGTGGACAATGCTGTGAAAGTTAGCTTTTATAGTTAGTGGAGAGAAATAGGGGCCTTTCATCTTACCCAAAAATAAATGCCTAATACAGGTTGGATGCCCAGAGATGTTTATTTCTCTGCTATAAAGGAGCTTAGGGTGATCTGCTTGGGTGCAGGCACCTAGGTGGTAGGTATCTAGAGCTAGGTGAGCTGGTTCTCACATTCTATCTGTAGGTGAAGCAAAGGTAAAACTTTTTTGAGGTTCCAACTGCTTAGGGTCTGCCATTTACGTAGGTTGACACTGAGGAATTGTGCAGCACTTGAGCAAGGTTTTTTCCTTATAGTTGCTGCATCCTATCCTGTTAAATGTTCTTGCCAAATGCAATGGCTGCCTTGAAACGCTGCCTTTTGCTGGTCATACAACAGTTTATATACAGCAGAAGAGAGGCTCACTGACAGAGATACTTGAAGATAGTCTAAGCTGAAATGTGTAAATCATTTATTTTCTTCTGGAGATAGGAATGAGCTTTGAGAGATAAGTTTTGCTGACTAGGAGTGTGCTTGCTTAGGTATACTTTTAGAGCTACGATGACTAAACAGCTTGTGAAGCAGTAAAAAAATACAAACAGGGAAAAATCTGTTCACTTCAAAATAGAAGTGTGCATGCTTTCTGTCAGTATTTTTTTTAACTGTGTGGATGAGCTAAATCTTCTGTGTCAGTCTGTATAAAGCAGATAGAATATAGTGGTAGGTTCCTTAGAGTAGTATTTGCAATATTAATACTCTCTCTTTTGAAACAGCGGAATAAAATTCTAGGTAAATATCTAAGCAACGAATGAACATTGTCTCCTCTTCGTCAAACTTAATTTAGCATAATTCTCAGAAATGTTGCTGCATGCAGAGCACAGTTAGGTAACATCTCCCTTCAGTTTGGTGGGGCACATTGCAATAGGCTGCTGTGAAAAGAAGTAAATGATGCCATTCGTACAGTTCAAAGTTATACAAAAGGGGTGAGAAGCAGACTGGGCAATTTCAGTAATTCTCAGTTAATATAAATAGAGAGGCCCAGCCCAGCTAGCTATCTGACATTTATCTTAGGGAACCAAAGCGCAGCTTAGCTTGGAGCTCAGCGCTTTGCTGAAAAGCGAGGTTTTGCTTTGCCACGGTAGGCACTTACCTTTAGTGTCCCACTCTGGCTAGCTTTGGGCCAAGTGGTGCATGCTGCGTGGCGAAGTTGCTTTTCTGGACCTCTGGTGAAGGTGCCTGTCTGTTGGTGTGATGATACTCCAGTCTGAAGGGAGCCCTGCCCAGCAGAAACCAGTCCCCAGTGCTTCAGAGCACAAAATAAATGACAAATGCAGATAAAGTTCTTGGGCTGTTGCCAAAGGTTTGAGAAGGCACTGAGCTCTAGTGCTTCAGTATTCATAGATCTCACACCGAGTGTCCCAGGGGGTCTGTAGTCATGACCACATGCAAACAAGGGTCACAGCTGCATGCCCTAAAGTGGGAGGTGTGCGGGAACGGGTGGGATGGGGGAGATCCTGTCACTTTATTTCTTCATGTTCCAGGTCTCATTGACATCAACAACAAGGACAAAAACAGGGAAACCAAGATCTCCATCAGCTCAGACCCCTCAGTCTCATGCCATGCAGAGCGAGACAGAGCAACGTGTGTCAAGCCATTTCTTATTAGTGTCTCATTTATGCAGCATTATTACTTTTTAGCTCTGGGTTCATCCAGTACGGCAAGAATGCTCTGTGGTTCCTTTGCCACAGCACAGCAGATGAGCCAGTCGTGCTTTATACTTCTCTGTGTTTGCTGCAGGATGCTGTACATAAATTCCCCTGAGATTTGAAGAGCAAACACTGTCTAGTGATTAGCGACCACCTGTATGGTGTTGGGGTACCCTGCAGGCCATTTATCTGGGAATAATTATCTGCAGAAGCCAAGGGTGCTCAGGTAGTAGGGCTGCTCATTCATAAATGGTGGAACAGAAATCTCAGTTTGCTTTGGTACTTCACAAAGTTTTCTAAATTAATTCCCTCCAGTCAGAAGATGGCATTGCTATTTCCTATCCTTTCTTTTACTCTATAACCTGTGGAGCAGTGCTCGGGTCTGAGAGGGGAAGGATTTTACTGTTAGTAAGACACAGCACTGCCCCTGCGTGCAGCCATCCAGCCGAGGATCGCTGCATCTTGCAGCAACAGGGGAAAAAAATACTGATGAGTGCTTGCCATAGTGAAGGGATATGAATCATTGTGGGCAAAGTACGTGTATGCTGATTGTGAACATCTTTAAATCCAGATTGTTTGAATACAAAAAATGTTTGTAAGGTTTCCCTACCCCATGCCCCTGCCTCTGTCAGCTTTCTGTGTGTCACATAAATTGCACAGTGTGGTGCATAAGTGGTGACTGAAATGTTTACGTGCCTGTAACTTTTTGGTTGTCGGTGACTTTTTGGTAACTCCACACTGCAGTTCTTCCCATGATGTTCAGTAATTGCTCCGAGGGCTCTGATAGAGGCCTGCTTTATCCAGTGTCTCTTATGAACTGCTTGGCAGCACCTAACAGGGATGTGCTGCATAATGCAACAACTAATCCAGTTACCCCTGGTCAGAGCCCCACGAGGCTCCAGCCCTGAGCTCAGAGTCCTGCTAAAAATAAGTACTGGTCTCACCTTCGAGCAATAAAAACAGAATTCCTCCCTCCTTGTCTACTCAGTGAAAGGGAAAGGTGTTTTCAGAGTTAAGGTAGACTTCTTCAGGGCTTTTTTTTTTTCAGTTTGTTCTTCTTTCACCCTGGGGCTGCTGCAGGGCAGTGGTGATGGTGCTGCACAGTGGCCATCACCATTCGCAGCAGAACCAGCTCTTGATGCCTGAGCAGGGCTTGAAAGTATTAAGGTTTTTTTCCCCCTTCTATCCCATTAGGCCTCTCTCTTGCCCCTGCCACTGTTTCGTGCACTGATAATTGGTGCATCCCCTCGAAAGGCTTTGCATTTACTGAAGAACTGAATGGCAGCGTTGCTAGAAACAAGAGATGGTCCAGAACTGAGCTTAGGGGGAATATGTGCAAACCCCTCTAGTCAACATCTTTGAACTGAATGAAGTATTATATGGAAGTCACAGAGCAAAGATGGGTTTATTAAATGCACTATACTTGCAGGGACAAGGCAGTATCTTTAATTATATCTGCTGATTTTCAATGGGAAAAGAAACACATTTCCAGGCATGACATACCTCCTTTGGGTTTGGCATTGCTGCCTCAGCCCCAGGGGAATGATGCTGTGGGGGCTTCCAGCAAAGCTGTGTCCTTGCCGTGAGAGGGTTTCCCCTGGGGATGGGGGCAC